CTAATTTAAAGACGTACTTGCTCATCCAGAATTGGTCCATCTTTTCCCCCGTCATCAAAATCTTGAGTAACAATTTAACATTAGTATTTTTGTTTAGAAATAATGATTGCTTACTTTCAGCTCTAGCTTCCTCATCCTCATAATACTCATCATTATCCCCTGTAGGTGCTTTCTGAGTTAGGATCCCTTGAAAATTATCCTCATCGGAATCATGGTCTGAGTCCATGGCTTGTCTTTTTCTAGCAGGGTTTAGTGGCGTAACTGGGTCATCATCATAGTCATAAATATCCTCTTCTTCCATTACAACAGCTGCCCTTTTTCTTGTCTCTGAGAGGGGAGATCAATATACTTTTACCAAACCAGAATATATATGTTACCTTGATGTTTGGCTTCCAATGCCTCTTTTTGAGCTGCTTGGGTAGATTGCACACCAGAATTCATAGCATCCACAATACGCTGATACTCCTCAGTACTCAGAGTAACTGTATCATTTTTAGCCTTGGAGCCAGGAGCTTTAGATTTACCCTTGGAATTTCTTTTGCCTGCCATTAAAAAATTAGACTGTGAGAAATAAGTGAAAAGAGAATGGAGCGCAAATGAGAAGTGGCCATTTTTCTGCAGAGTTTAGGGCAAGCCTTCTAGGCCAATTACAATTATACCTGACAAGTGCCACTGAGATTTGGCTGAAAAACAACGTGTACAGTAAAACAATATATCAAACAATGTACTTATACAAAGGTCCTCATGGCTTCATTTTCCATCCAGCCATTTCTATCAGCAGCCCAAGAAACAAATTCATGGTCAGTATGGAGCACTATGGATGCACATTTACCTTCATAATGAAGGTTGAGATGAGTGATATCAGATGACCTGAAAATTGCAAAGTCCCCATGGTTCAGCTCAATAACAAGGCCTGTCTCAACCATGGCAAGAGCAGCCCCCTTAAATGTTCCAATGGGGAGAACAAGACAAAGCTCCTGATCCTTGCTATCATGGTGAGCCTTTGTTTGCATGTTGATGTTGATGACAATTGACAGGAAGGGGGCGGCTGGGGAGCAATGGTTTCCTGGTAAGATAGATGCAACTTGCTCGAGCATCTGACACTCTACAGGCAGGTGGGTTTGCATCTGATATGATGATGAGATAGCTGTGAATAAAAAGGGAGTACCACTTACAATACAATGTATTCAGTTAAACAGTTCTTCAAAGACAACTTTGAAGGACTGAAATAATTCCCGGTTATTATTGATGTCCTTGGATATATAGGGGATTATCTGGCTGTGATTGGTACATTTGTAGCCCACTTTGTCAAGCATAGATGGTGGCACATCAGATGGGGCTTTGTGACCCTGTAAAGGATCAGCATTAAGTGAACATATGGTAAGGAATTACTTTACCTTGGTACAGTGACGGTTGTACCATGACAAGTGAAGTGCTTCAAATGTAGAGTCAGCATCTACTCGAGTGTTCCTCTCTGCCAATAGGTCAGGTTTCCCAAACACAGATAGTAGGTTACTTGTGAGAAAATTACAAATTTTTGCTGGAAGATTGGTACATATGAATGCCATGAGTGTCTCATCAGAATTCTGTATATCCACCAAGGAACTTCAGATAGGTGAGTGAGCAATCGGTGATTAGAAAGTTACGGAAAACTTACTTGGGAATAGCATCCATAGGAATACATATGTAGGTGTCATCTGATACCTTCATTCCTTCCTTGTAGTGCACATTGAGCTGGCAACGCAAATAAACAATTAGGGGACAATGGTGTAGAACACTGATTACATACCTGTGATTGCAAATCTTTTATGTTTCTAACTCGGGCACCCTTCTCTGCACGTTCACGTTCGCGCTCTGTCCATACATTATTAGTTTGACGATCACACTTAGCTCGAAAACACTTGTTTTGAGGCAGAAATTGGTCATAAGTTGTGCATATGATTGTTTTCTCCATCCCTATACCTTTCGGTTGGGTAGCGGGGGGTGGGTCTGGGTCATCTTCAACATCCAAAAAGTCTTGTGAGTCTGATAGAGGAGGGCTATATGGTCTGGGCAGGAAAGACAACATTGGTGCAAGCAGCTTATAGCCAAGCTGATGGAGGGGGATAGGAGGATTAGTGTTAATGTCAATGGTAGTATTGTAACATGATGCCCAGTGTTGAGTATTGCAATTGTGTAACGTAAAATTGCTGTGCCATGTAAGAAAAATGAAGGATTATAGTGATGAATGAGTGATGCTCACTTGAAGACGACCAAGTCAAAAAATCTATCAGAAGATGCAATATCAGTGCAATCAAACTCGCCAGAAACTTGGTGCTCTGAAAGTGTTGATGGGGAGAACATGGATGCCATACTAATTGGGAATAGATGACACATGCAACTGATAGTTGGTATAATACGATTTATGATTAAATCGCCCTCCACAGATCCTGAATGACAAGTTATTCAACCAATTTTTATTGTCACAAATCATACTTACCCGGGATAGGAGATTGTAGGAGGTTAGCCAAGTCCCAAAGCAAGGAGCCCTCCATTCCACCGATGAATACCCTAAGTCCAAGTCCCGCAACCAGGATCAGTATATAGACTGACCCCCCTCCAGCAATTGCAGCAAATTTACTGCCAATTGAATGCCAACCTTGAAAGGTTCGTTTGCTAGGTTTTCCTGGGAGATGCGCAACTTTTGTATTGTAGATAGCATTGAGAGACTGTTGGGTACACAATTTGATGCTAGAGAAGAAATGGTAAATCAGATGTTAGTGGAATAAGAATAACAAGGGCCCTCACCTCTGGCACTTTGTTACCAATTGCATGTAATTTATTATCAACAGAAAATTGACACAGATATCCTTGCCGCTGATATCTCTGCATCTTTGCACCACTGACCCCAAGCTCTCATCCACATATCCATTCCCCTCCATTGCCAATTTCACACTGTCAATCCAAACACTGGGGTTATGAAAGCCTGAGTCCCAGTGTGCAAATGCCAGAGTTGCAACAATTGCGTTAATATTGTCGCTAGAATTGAGCCAAGCAGTTGTTTGTCTTCTCCAGACACTTCTGCCATCTCTCCGTGATAGGGCAAATGCAACACCCCCCCTTGGACATGCCAATTGAGCTTGGGACTTGGCAGCATCATAAGATTCTCCCCCAGTTTTGCAGCGGTGACTCTGTTTTTTTTTCAAGTGATGGTGGCGCGTTGCTGATGCTGATACTGGTGCTGTAGCGTTCAAATTTGCTTTATCTATTTCATGTTGACCAGTAGCCATCTGAGTCCTTGGTACGCACTGGGAAGGCGGTGATCCCATATCAACCTGTGGAAGTGAGAAGTCGGAAATGGGACATTGTGAAGAGGTAGCAATGAGAGGTGATGGTAGCAAGGATATGGAAGAATGAGGTGTGGAAAGGGAGACATTGATAGGTGCATTGATTGTAGCAGGAAGAGAGCGGTTCCAGTTCGATGTCTGTGGTGAAGACTGCCAGGGCAGGAGCTCATCCCATAGATTTGTCACATTTAAATTGTCCACACTGCTGGAATAGGTAGTATTCTGGCTTGCCGCCCAGGAAGAAAGTTCCTGTTGAGGGATAGGATTGTTGGTGTGTTCACCTTGACCAATGGATAACACAGAACACAATGATGATCCATAAGTGACCAGTACAGATAAGTTTGAGCAGAAATTCACAAGGTTTGGTGGTAGGTTTGGGCTGTTGTTGAGCAGTTGAAGTAGAAGCTCCAAGTCATGGGTATGCATGTCAAGGATACGGAGCAATACCTCAGTATCGGATACGGACAATTTCATGTCTTTGGTAGTTGGCAGTTGACAGTATGTCCCAGAAAGGAAAGTGCTCGAGTGCTCAAGCACTTTCCTTTCTGGGATATACTGCACGAGCACCAATTGCAAGCAGCATATGCTGGTAAAGGTGCTCAATTTCACGGAATGATTCCCATATTGCAAGAAGACGATAAGAAATTGCAGGACATGGGCAAGAAATAGGATGTAAGTGAACATACTTCCCTGACACATACAAGAAGCACATCCTAATGCCAAGACACACCTTTCCAGCAAAGTTCGATCCACCCTCCCAGATAGGCACTCTATATTTGAGAAAACACATAGCAAGAAGCGCTAGCCTTTTACTGAGGAGGAGGATTGGGCTTTGGTTGACCATTATGACCTTTTTCCTGCTGCTTTTGCGCCCGACTTTGCTTTGCTTGTATAGCGGAAACACCCAGAATCTAATCTAATCAAAATATTTCCTTTCTGGGACATACTGCCAAAAACTCTCCACTACTACATATGGGAAGTGCTCGTGCACTCGAGCACTTCCCTTTCTAGGATGTACTGCCAAAGCCAAAGCTCTATGAATACACTGCCAATCGTTCTCCCACAGACATGGGAAATGTCCGGGTTAATTTAAGCTCAATGCGGAACTCCCTCTGGGGATGGAAAAGGCAGAATAGTGAATATGCTGGTAGTAGAGGAGTCTTCTTCCTTTTTTACTAGCTTTCACCCGCCCTTCTGAAACAGCTTCATCCCTGAGATGTCTACTACTGGATCAACATCTGTCATCACCCCATCTCTAAATGCTTCAATAAGTCTCTTTTTTGATCACATTGCGCCTGGGTAGCTTATGAACTACTCCAATAGCCGCCACTGCTCCGCTGCACCACGCCTTTCACACATCCAAAGGTAATGTGTACTTCACTTGACTTTGCTGCCCCACGCTGACTCCCTAGCCTTTGCCTTTTTGCTATTTAGTTCAGTGGGTTCGCTATCAAAGGCCCAATGCAATATTTTCATAGGTTTATAGACCCTCTTTTGAAGAAAGAGGCTGCACCCCTTAAAGTGTACTGCACACTGGAGGATTTCCTCCCAGTAATTTTCCCTTTATCTCACATTTTCACAGGTCAATATGGGACAAAAGCCATGCTATACAACATGCTGGTTTTGTTACGTGATGCAGGTTATTACAGCAACGAGGATAGATCCTGGACAACAATGAGTGGCTGTCCAGACTTTACAAAACCTTGGAGTCCAGGTTCAGAGGATGAGTGTGCAGCATTCCTTAACAACATTGTACTGAAGGTCTACTCTGCATTACCCAGCATGGCAACTGCCTCCTTGAGATGGTGGACCACTGCCAACTCAGTTCGTTCAGTAGAAGACGGCGGTGGAAGACGGCGTCCCGACCTAGTCTTGATGGGTGCTAGCTCTGACAACCCCACAAATCCCAAAGCTCTTCCACCAGCAAATTGGAGAAGTGTCCACGCACTGGCTGAGCTCAAGGACAGGGAGAAAAACTCAGTGCCCCTCCACGAGCAGATTTTTCAGCTGATGGGACGTGCATTATTTCTCAGAGCTGCACAAGATCGCCAGCTCCATATCTCAGGCTTTGCTTTATGTGGAGCATCATTCACTCTCTTTTACATAGATCAAGGTGGTTCCATTGTAACATCTGAAATCGACGTCCATCAGCAGCCACTGTTATTCTTACATGTTGTCTTGTGTTTTGCTCACAGCACAGACATTTGCATGGGGTATGATGCCATGGCTAGCCCCACGCATATCAAGACATCAGTGCTCGGTAAACTCAAAGTGCATTGCATTCTCTTTATTATGGACAGTATTCATGGACGTGGTACGGTTGTCCGTTGTGCCCAAGTCCCTGCCTTTGCCGACTTTGATTCCCCTCAGTTTTCTGCCTTACTAGGCGTCAATATCATCGTCAAAGATACCTGGCATGATGTCCGTTGACTTTTAACAGAGGGTGCAATCTTGTATTTACTTGAGGCCAAGGGTGTAAAAGGAGTACCTTGTTTGATTGGCAAGGAGAAGGTCCCAGTTTCAAAGCAGTAGGGAGAGGGAGTAGATAGCCACCCACTTCCGCAGTACAATTGTACAAGCAACATACGAGACTCTATTGAAACCATTGAGATCAATGCCAAAGAGAGAAACATGGCTCTTGCAGATCCCTGTCAGCCGTATCAGCTTCGTGCACACATACGTTCTACTACAACTCCAGCTGGCACTCTTATAACAGACTTCAACTGTTTGGAGGAGCTTCTTGTTGTTACAATTGACCATATCACAAGTGCATCAACAATTTGAATATTTTAAATATACCTTGTTGCTAATGGGCAAACAAGGCCACAAGATGGCATATAGCTCTATCAACTATTCTTCCCCTGTGGGCAACACATTTCCAGTCAGGACCTTGTACCGAGATGATTCTACAAGTAATTCACTCATTGTTGACCAAAAAAACTCAGATTGGCCTCCCTTGCAGGTCAAAGCAGGTTGTATGCCTCCTCATGAGTGTATCTGTTGTGGATTGCTTGCAGATTGGGGGTTTGCGGCTGCAATACCAAAGATAAAGGAGGAATTTTCTCAGTTGAATCTATCTCAGTTTGATAAAGAAGATGCCGTATTTGATGAGGGGTCATCTGAAGCTTCCTCTGAAGAGGAGGATCCTGCCCACCATGATTGCAAGGCCAAGATGTTGGATGCCATGCTGAAAAGGGTCGCACAGCAACACAGTGTAATCCAGCAGGCCCAAGGTTCCTTTGCCAACACTTCAATACATGGCCATAATGTTCCAGGGTGGGAAATGGAGGTCACTGGAGGTACTGCTCATGAGACCTTTGAGCTCTTGGCAGGCCAGGGGTGGGCTGTGGATAACGGAAACCATGTCCTTGAACGCACAGTAAGTTTTCTTTTTTTGAAGCTACTGCCTGTACTAACTGATTCTCTTTATTTGCTCAGGGTACAGAGCCCTTCATGGCTGTAGAAATACAGAATACACAACCTGGAGAGCCCATTCAGCACGCAGCACATCATGATCTTGAGTCCTTCTACTACATTATTTTAGCTATGTGCGTTCTACTGGAGCAGCCCTACCAATTCAAGGACAAGGTGTTTATGGAGCGGGAGGTAATCAGGAAATGGCTCAATCCTGAATTTGACACCAAGTTTACCCATGCAGATGCAGCGCATCACAAATTCACAACATTTGGCAAGGCTGATAACCTCCATAGTTTCCTTGACGGACATACATCAGGAAAAACCCTTTTGCTATATAGCGCTATATAGCCACCACTTATATATATAAATGCATTCATAGAAACTATAGTACTATCAGTGCAATCATAGCTCTTATAGCTCTTATAGCAAAGTAATGGGCAAAATTTTAACCAAGGGGAGAAGTATCTATAATTCCCTCAAATTCTGCATTAATCTGATAAATTTGTTCAATAATAGAAAGAGGCCAGAAGTGTTTGGAGTCAAGTATATTAATATAGGCAAGATACTTTAAGTGCTCTTATAGCCTATAGCAGCCTACATAGCTCCTATAGCTATAAAGGTCATAGTTATAATATAGTTCAAGGTGCTTAAAAGGGCTAATAAATTCTACAGTATTAATTAATTATGTAGCCTGTATTAGTGAAATAGTAGTTTGTATTTTTGATATTTATAAAATAAAAATAATGATTTATCTAAATATATAAGTGGTGACAATGAGTAGAAAAATAATCTAAGTCCATGAAAGGTCAATATAAACATCTGTATAATATATTTTATAAGCTTGTAGTGGATAAATGTGATGTTTGGCTATATTGCTTAGTCACCCAAAAGCTGACTAGGAGGTTGAGAGTTCAAATCCTGTCTGTGTTAATTTTTTTTTATCAGCCACACAACATCTATAAGTGCATTTATAGAGCTATATGAGGCTTTATAGATGGCAGAGGTTTTATAACAGGTTTGACCACTATAACAGCTTTATGAGTACTTATAGTGCTATAAAGCTCTATATAGCTACCCCCATTTTTCCTGATGTATTTCAACCTACTTTGAATTTATGATCCCCTACTTTGAACGGTTGCATAGCACAATTTTTGATTGTGCGATGTTCATCCCTGAGAGGTTCATCAAACTTGGCCCCGCCCCCTTCCTGGTGTTGACGCCCACCACCCACGACTCCATTTTGCAGATCTTTCATGATGCTCTCAACGTTATACAAACTAGCAGGAAGAAATTGACGCACCTGAGACAGCCATTAACAAGGCCAGAGGGATTTATACTGCACTTGGATCTCTGGCGCTCAAGTGATGATAGATTCAAATTCTATGCTCCGCTTGTGGTCACGCACATTTCAGGGACGAGTAGTGGGGGGAGCATACCCAGGTATTCTGCATCAGTCAAACCTTCCAAATCAACTTCATCAAATGTTATGGGGACAACTAGGGCACGTACTCGGGCACTTATGACTGTAACAATCGGCTATTCAGTATCCCAGGTGTCAGTGATTTCATGATTTTTACGAATCTTGCTTATACAATTGCCAGGTCAGGGAGAAGCTGGGGCTTTCTTACCATAATATACGTGGATTACACAACATTGTTGACTACAGCATACCGTCTAGGGCTGAATGGAAATTAACTATGATATCTTTTCCTGATACTCCGAATGATACACACCTTATCCAGTATAGAGATGTACTTTCAGCCATCAGGGCTCTCCTTGAGAACCCTGCACATGCCAAACATATAGTCTATCGCCCAAAAAAGGTTTTCACCAATGCGAGGAAAGAATCAAGGATTTATCATGAAATGTGGACGGAAAAATGGTGGCATGCTATTCAGGTGAGCATGGTTATGTATCTCCCACTTACAATGACTTACAGAATCTTCGGAATAGGCTCGTCTACCATCTGGGGCAGCCTTGGCTCCTGTTATTATTGCAATGGACAAAACCCAGCTCACGCAATTCTCTACTTCTAAATCAGCCTACCCTGTCTATCTCACACTTGGCAACATACCCAGAGCTATACATCGTAAGCCAAGCCAACATGCTTGCATACTTATAGGATATCTGTCCGTCAACAAAGCCACAGGATCTTAGCTTACTGCAAAGGAGAAGTTTTCAAGGGTTCAGCGCCTTTTTCATGAGTCAATGCGGATTATACTAGAGCCTTTGAAGAGAGCTGGTATCGAAGGAATTAATGTCACTGGGGGGGATAGTGCTATAAGGAGAGTCCATCCTATCTTGGCTTGCTACGTTGCAGATTATCCAGAACAATGTCTTGTGACATGTACAAAGTACTGCATATGTCCCAAATGCAAAAGACCTGCTTCTGAGCTCTCAGAATCTACTCCTGGAGAGCCATGTACACAAACCTGGACTGAGGAAGTCATTCATGATGCTAAAGTCAATGCAAACTCCTTCATTCAATTTCAGGACAGGTGCAAGGAAAAAGAGGTCTCTGGTGGTGTTTACGAGCCATTCTGGCTTAACTTCCCTCATTGCAACATTCATTTATCTGTTTCCCCCAACATTCTCCATCAACTATACCAAGGCGTCTTTAAGCATATGGTGAACTGGTGCAAGGACCTTATGGATCCCAAGGAGCTTGACCAGCGCATTTCCTCCCTTCCTGCTTGTTATGGTGTTCGTTATTTCAAAAATGGAATCTCTGCATTAGGCCAGATTAGAGGAAAAGAGAGAAAGGATATGGCCCGCATATTTCTAGGATGTTTGATTGGAAAAATCCCCAGGAGTGCAATACTTGCATACCAATCCCTCTTGGACTTCATCTAGATAGCACAGTATCCCACTCATGACAACACCACTCTGGGCTACCTTTCAGATGCTTTGGACACTTTCCACAAACACAAAGATATATTGGTACAACTCAACATAAGAGAACACCTGAACATCCCTAAATTCCACTCTCTCCTCCACTACTGCCAGTTCATCATATGGTTTGGAACCACCAACAATTACAACATGGAGATGTTTGAGCGCTTCCATATTGACTTTGCAAAAGAAGGTTGGAGGGCTTCTAATAAAAGAAATGAAGCACCACAAATGGTGACATGGCTTCTGCGTTGTGAAAAGGTGGTCACTTTCCAAAGCTACCTCAAAATGACCATGGATAATGAAGAAGACGAATTCCCTCACTCCAAATTACAAGACCAAAGACATGTTGTCGCCAAGTATCCTAATAAATGTCAGCAAAGCATTTTGGACGTCATAGAGAAGCAACAGTGTCCTGGATTTGAATCAGCACTCAAGGTCTTCCTTAACAGTAAACTAACTCACCCAAATACACATGGTGAAACCAGATTACTACCTCTTCCATTTCAAAACCTTGATATTTTCCATGGCTTCAAATTCTGTTTAGATAGCCTAGGCAATGATGTCGACCTGGAGAATGACCAGGTAGATTCTGTCAAAGCCAGGCCAAGTGGAAAAAACAATCCATTATCACAGTTTGACACAGTGGTTGTGATGAATTCTCCTGATTGTGAGGCTACAGGAATAAAAGGTAATATTTCTCTTACCCTATGGCCACAAGCATGTCTAATACTAATGACTGTATTCAAGGAACAAGAATTGGGAGATTGAGAGTAATATTTAAACTACCTGAAACACTATACCGTTTCCACCCATCCTCCAATAATCAGCCAAAATATCATTTAGCATATGTAGAGTGGTATAGCAACCTCAAATCCACAGCTGAAAAAGACCACTTAATGTACACTGTTAACAAGATATCTCTAAACACTGAAGGTTTTCCTCCAGGACAAATCATATCTTTATCCAGTATTAGACAGGTTTGTCAACTTATCCCTGCTTTTGGTGGTTTCCACAATACATGTCCTCATCATTGGACTCATAGTAATGTTCTGGATGTTTGTCACAAATTTTATCTTAATAACTTTAGTAGCAAATATGCATATCAAACATTATGGTAGTCATATATAGCATTTTAAATTTTGTGTCTATAATACTATTATTGCTTTTGTTGCTCCTGTTGCTCTTATTGCTTGTATAACACTATGGTCACTATGATCATACTATAGTTGCTCTTAAAGTACTATAGGGACTTTGATCGTACTATAGTTGCTTTTATAGTGCTATAAGTGCTATAGGTGCTATAATAGGCTTTATTTGCACATATGTACAAACCCCTCTGCTATATAGCAAAAGGCTTTTTCCTGATGTGTATCCAGACCAACCAAACTGAAAGGCATTAAACTCGACTACTTGGTCCACTGGCATGGTTATCCGGTCTCAGAACGTACTTGGGAACCCGACACCAATCTTACACACGTCTCTGATTTGCTCGCCACTTTCCACAAAACGCATCCTGCCGCCCCTTGCATCATCACCGCTTCTCTTCACTTCTGTCCTTACAAAAACTACACCGCGACTTCTAAATCTCCGATGCTTTTTGATTGGATTACCAACAAGTTCCAGAGTGCCGCTTCCGGACTCATGAGGACACGAGTTTTATAAAAGGGGAGCTAATGTGAGGAATCGATTTTTCTTATTGCATTCCCATCATGTCGTGGTTATCTGATTCATTCCCTGTCACTCCTCTCGCTCTTGGACTAGAGATTACAGCTGGCATTCTATTACTTTTATCCTTTTTCTTCTTATTCTCCATTCATACTCACGTCCTATTGTACTTACAACAAAGGAAAACTGTTGTAGACCCTTGAGAAGATATTCAAATGACATAGCAACAATCCAATGCTATGCCTGGGAATAATTTGGAGGGGATATTGATAAGCGAGGAAGGCTATGAGTCAGCGCCTTCTCATGGGCTTACTGATACAGCCAATTGTATATCTCTTACCAATATTTTCTCTCATACAATTAGTAAATACGATAGATTGGACCACTTTCTCTTTCTTTTCTTATTGGTTAGTTAATTGGTCAGACCACTTTCTTAACCCTTCCCTTTCTCGGTCTGACCATTGTTGTTCACTATATAAGGAAGTACATACTCAATGTATTATTCTTTAGTTCAATATTAGTTTGGATTTGCGCCCATATCAATACTCTTCAACCCTCATACCCTGCTTCACCGCCTTTCAGCAAGAACTTGACCAGGCATTGAATTTTGTTATATAGCTTTGTATTTGTTGCCTGACATACTCCATCCCCATATTCTGTAACTCTGACACTTTGTAAGGTCACAGTTCTGACACCTTCATTCATCCCTCTTTGCCTGTCTTCACTGTGCGCCAGAGTATACAAACTTTGGTTGTTACACGGATTTTATCCACTATCTCAATCACCCCTCTCTGCTTGTTCTCACTTGTATGCCAGAGTATAAAAACTTTGGTTGTAACACTTCCCCTCCGCATAACCACTCTCTAAGGTGCCAAAGGCACCCTCCCTCCCTGTATTTCACTATACCACTCTTTAGAGCACCTATGGCACCCTCCCTCTTTACATTTCATTGTAATAATTTCTAGGATGCCTGTGGCACCCCCAATCCATATTGGTCATGCATCTTTGTAACCTCCCCCCGCTCTGCACTACTCTCTTGGGAGTCCACAGCACCTTCCCTCTTTGTAATTCCTTGTATACTCTCTAGGATACCTGTGGCACCTCCAGTGTCATGCATCTTTGGTACCTCCCCTTCCTACACCACTCTCTAGAGTGCCTGCAGCACCCCTGTCTCTTTTGGCCATTGGCAGCCACTCCACATCTGTTTTGCACTCAGCTCAGGGATCCCACACGGGAAACCACGCGAGCATAAGCGAGAAACACGTGAGCGTTGCCGAGTTAAGCGACAGTCCCCCTCTTCCGTTTTTGTTTCTAATGTGCGTCGGCATTGCTGCAAAATATTGAGTTGATTCTGTGAGTATACTTTATCAAGCACTGCCAACTTTGTTTGCTACAGGTTGCAACAAGATCTGAGGCCATAGTCACACTGCTTTGCTGAGGTACCTGTGTTCATTGATCATCTTATGGTTGGAGATTGCCAGTGTCATGTTTCAGCGTTCAGCCTGCCTAGAAGCATCTGTCAATCACAATCAGCCCAGCTCAACCTGTGCTCAGTTTGGTGCGATGCCTTCAAGTTGGCCTATATTTGACGTATCTCTATTAATATATTCTCATTTAAATACAGTCATCAGATGACATCGACAAGTGCTCTGTTTCTCTCCCTGGCTGGTATCTGAATGACATCTTTATTACCATCACAAAACAGATATCTAGAATTTAGCTATTGGGGTATGGATTTATCTTGATATATGCGCTTGCTTAACTTATGACCTAACTTGTCTGTTATAGGCATTCTTATTGCAACGCTGTTCGTTCATTAGTAAATTGTCTTTGCACTTTAATATGCCGATATACACCTAGATGTTTTGGATGCACGTTCATGCAAAGCTATTTTTACTTTCAAAAATATCGCGATGGATGGCCCATAAAGATATTTGTAAGCATCAACTCCATTATATCTCTTCATGTTCTCATCACAGTGCTCCAGGTATCCCTCATAATGTAAAAAAAAACATTTGGAAGAAATATTGATTCTACTCATTTAGACTTTACCATAGTACAGCCAACACTGTGAACTGGATATTTCTAGCTAAACTCTTTTTCTTCTACCTGGTAAATCTTCAACACCCCCCTGCAGCTTCGCCCCCTAATTGTCCCTTTATAAGGCTGAAAATTATGACAATCCATCTGCTCTTACCATTTTGCCATGGTACGAACCCTACCTCAAAAGGCACGACACTAATCTAAAGGATAACACAGGGAGTACAGCGCCGGTGTTGTAACTTCGGCTATAGTGGAAGTCTTGTAAACTGCCCATCAACTGTATCATTTATCGTGTAGCTGATAGCCATGCAGTGCGCAATTATCTTTTGCCCGTCAGATTTTTCTAGGTCTGTCCGTTTTCTGTTTCCGGTGTGAAGGAATCGCTTTATATTCTCATGAAGTCAATAGAAAAAGTTGGGCAGTGGCCTTAGTTATAGCTAGTGTATTTCTATTATGGTGGTTGAACGCGTGCTTACGTCAATTATAGGTATTCTTCGCACTCTGCAGTTTAGGTGAGCATTGATATTGAGTAGTGTAAGGACAAAACATGGCTGCTTAATTCTCTGTCAGGTTTCAGCATCGGTAGGTCGCACTCATGGTTGCATGTGCATATCAGGCTGTAAAACGGCTTCGTACCAATTTAGCCCTTGCCAGACTCTTAGATGAACATTCATCCTTGGAGTATGCTGGTACTAAAGTTGTTGTTGTATGTCATACGATTCACTCGTCGGTTGTACTATATTTTAACTGAGATTCACATAGATTGTGGGGAATGTCACCATCATTGTGTCAATGGTTTGCGATTTCATCGCGACAGCTGCAATGTGGTACTTTCTTGATGCTAAAGGGGTGACAAAGTGGGTAATATTTATTTCTCTTATTTTCTTGTTCTCTCATGTCCTACTGGCAATACATCGCAGGACAAGGGGTACTATCATGTCGATCCGACTTCTGGTCCTTAATCGTGGATTGCTCCTCTTAGCAGCTCAAATCACATTTTTGGTTCTATGGCTCGTAGGAGAGACCCATTGGTACTGGTGCGTACCTATCCCGACAGGAAGATCATTTTACACGGCCTATATATACTAATTACGATGATAATCCAAGGCTACCTTTCCACATGAACATACCTAATATCTATACTAATACCATGCGTGAGTGTTCGTGTGTCACCATTGAAGAAGTTCGACGATAACGGATTATTTGCAGTACTCTTGTTCGTATCGAAAAGTCACTCGTCACTCTCGAATGTTCTACTGATGAGCATCGTTTCCGATGTTAGATTGAACGAACGTTCAAGTATTCGGGCAAAAGAGAAGGCCAAGGAGATGTTATCTCTTCAGCTTACGAGTGGTGGACAGCAACTTCAATTCAATGTATTCCATTCGTTACACGCTAATAGATCGCGTGGATTAATCTCGAGCTTAGTGGTGAGTTAGAAAGGACCTAGCGTCGTTGAAAGGGATATTCTGATTTATTCGTTTTCCCTGTAGGATCAGCCAGCGAATGTCAATGACATTCAGGATATACCAGTCTAACAGCTACTCTGTCACTCGAGGCAAAAGTGACCTGAAGTCTATTGTAGTTTTGTATTGATTTAGATTTCACCCACCGGCAGAAGTAGTGCAGGCTCAAAAGAGTGTAATAGAGACCGTGACATGTACTATGATGTATTTATTATTCACGGACTTGCCTCTGACTATTATCCAGCATATTCCAGTTCATCCTTTAGCATTGCAGTAGCCCTCATGTCGAAAGCAAAACATGAAAAAGTATTTCCTCCTCTCGAATCCGATCCACAGCTCTTTACTCTTCTTCTTCAAAAACTAGGCGCCTCGTCTGCACTTCACTTTGAAGACGTACTCTCTCTTGATGACCCCGATCTCTTGGCCCTCATTCAGGGACATATAGTCGCATTCGTTCTCATATCTTCTTCTAAAGAGGGGCACGATGATACTTTGCAGCTTGAGGAGTCGCAGCGCATTGCATCAATGAGCGAAGCCGATAAGATAACAGGCGAAGGCGTAATGTGGGTAAAGCAGACAATCCACAACGCCTGCGGCTTCTACGCCCTCTTACACGCAGTCTGTAATATTCCTTCCGCGAGAAGTCATATCGCACCTGGATCTGTGCTTGATGCTGTCTTGAATGCGAGATCTGTAGAAGAGCGTAAGAAGATTCTGGAAACGAGCAAGGCTCTCGACGATGCCTACATCCCAATTGCGCTGCAAGGACAGACAGCAGTGTCAGAGGATTGGGTATGGGAGCCCCCTTTTCATTATGTTTGCTTTGTGGATGTGCATGGACGAGTGTGGGAGCTGAATGGAGCCAGAATGGGCCCTGTGGATAGAGGAGGGGGAAGAGAGGTGGTAGATGTCGTGAGGGAGTGCATAAAGGAGAAAGGAGGCACACACAGCTTGCTCGCTCTCGTAGAGACCGTTGCATGATCATTTTTGATTATCGAGCAAACTTTTTGTGTACAACCTATCATATTGAATACTTTCCATGGCTATTGATGGTAAGATAAAGAACACAGTCATATTGTGATAACTCATTACATGGATCGATACAGGACAGCAATATAGACAGACAATGACAACATACAAAAATGTATCCACCAGGTCATGACATTTCTTCTTCGTCATCTGTGTCGGATAAATATTCTTTACTTTTACTGAAAAAGAAGGAAATATTAGTGCGAGTTCCGTTCAGACACCAAAGCAACTAACAATTGTTTTTTGCGGGGTCCCCCGATATTCTCTGGCTCGTCGTCGTCCCGGACGACTCGTTTCTTGATTCCACGCTAATGTGGATTAGCATCAGCGACTGAAAGGCAGCACAATATCATACCTTCTTCGCGGGCTTATTATCCCCTCCCTCCTCGTCGCTGAAGAGCTGCTCGTTCTCTTCTGCTGGCTCGTTGTGCTCACTGACTTTCTTTAGTTTTCCACGACGTTTCTTCTTTGGCTCCAAACCCTCGTCCCCACTCCCATTCTCGATTTTGGGTCTTCTTGCTGCCTTCTTAGACTTCCTTTCGCGCTCTTCGTCGCTCTCGACTTGAACTTCTCTCGACCACTCAAGAGCTGTTTCTCTCGCTATTCGTCTCTCTTCCGCAAGTTTCTCTGCTTGTTGGCGGAGCTCCTCGACACGCGCCAGCTATGCGTAAACAGATGAGACCACATGAAAAAACTGAAACAGGATTCAACGCTTACCTCCGTGGCTTCTTGTCGTCGCTTTTCTTCCAGTCTCTTCTGCCTTGCAGCCTCAAGCTTGGCATGGGCTTCAGCTTCAAAGTGTTTTTGAGCTGATAGATGCTCATCTCCCCTTCGAAGCATACTTTCACCATATTTTCTTCTGTGATCAGCCATTTCGCGACTGTATGGTACGACCGGAGCCGGATCTGCTGCCAAAGATGCAAACAACCTTTGGGTACTGTGTCAACATCAATCTCCAATCTCCTATGAAAGGGCCAATACCTTTGTGCATGACCTGCTTGAGCAATAGCTCGCTCTAGATCTTTCAAAGAACGTTTGGCTGGGGTAATACCAAAGAGTAACTCAGCAGCTTTCTGCTGGATCATCGCGATGTTATACACGATGGCCTTATCATTAGGTTGTATATGAAGAGCCTCGAAAAGTATTTTTAGCTGACAGACACAGAGTTGGACCGGAATGAAGCTCACCATCTCAGCAAATTTCAAAGCTTTGTTCATGGATGTGAAGGATTGGTCTTTATTTGCCTTTGCATACCATGAGCGGCAAAGACACAATAATACAGACACGTTGTGACCACTATAAAACCGTGACGACGCAGTTTCATACTACGTGCATAATGGTAAATGTCAATAGTTAAACGAGTAAATGAGAACACTTACACTCTCAACCGCACGATCAAATTCATCGCGAGCATAATAACAGTGGCCCATGTTGACATAGACGCTACCATCGTTCAAGGACTCTCTGACTTTAGCAAAGACGTCAAGTGCATCGCGAGCATTCTTGAATCGCTTCTGTGCTTCATCTGTAGATGAGGACGAAGGAGCGCTGAAGGAACCGAGTGAATCTTCGGCAGTGACGATAGCAAGACCTTGAGCGGCTACGGCACAATTGGGATCGTACTGCAATGCCTTTTCGTAGAATTCAGCAGAACGCTGGAACCCACGCCTGCGCTCTTCCAGACCTTTGGGGCTCGCATCACGACTCTCACGACTCTGGTGGTACATGATCCATCCGGCAGCACACAGCGAATACACATCATATTTGTCGTGGTCTTTGAGTGTGGCGAAAACGAAATCTTTGGCTGGTTTAGGAAGATTACTTTGAATGAGGAAGTAGGTGTAAAAGGCGCGTAGATTAAGGTTTGAATTCTGAGATGAAAGTGCTTGTTTGAGCAGCTCGTGGGCTTCGTTGGGATGATTAAGGTTGGCAAGCATCTGGGCTTGTCGGATTTTTGCTGCGAAGGGCTCAAATCAGTGACATCTAGAGCTGCAAATCTGGACGACTTTACCATCAGCATATTCTGGGTGTCTGGTCAAAAGCTTATCATAAGCTTCGCTGGCCATCGTATCGTCTCCCTTTTCTTCGTACACTCTTGCTAGATTGTACAGGATCGACGTCGACATGCCCTCACCGAGTTCTGACCCAAGTGCAGAGGCTGTTGTGAGTGCACTTTCGTACATCGTCCTCGCTTGATCCAAGTCCCCATCCAAATGTTGCAGTGCGCCCAGATTATTCAGCAACCGTGGGTCGGTTTGTCCAGTCGCCTCACTTATCCGCAATGCCTCTCGTAATGACTTTCCTGTGCGATCCAAGTTTTCCTCCTGCCACAGTTTAGCAATTTCGGCATGCATATCCATGTCATCGAGGATGCGACGAGACGTTCGTGAGGGCTCTTTGGCACGGTCGTGTATCCGGTTATCATCCTCGAGACTTTTTATGACACGATCGTAGAGTTCCCGAGCTTTGATTTTCTCCTGAACCATATCGTCAGTTGATATACCCGGCCTTGGGTGACTGCGTAATGAAGCGAGCATAACAGTAGCTTCAGGTGAACGCTGGGGATTTGGTGGTTGGAGGAGAGTGTCAAGAGTATGAATCGCAGCAGCTGCCTCATCTACCGATCGTTCAAATTAAGATTATAGTATATTGATTATTATTTTAAGAAAACATACCATTTTGTATCTGCATCTGTGCGAGCCCAATCGCTCCTAACACGTGTTTCGGCTGCCCTTCTGTAGCAGAGGTGTAATACTTGGTTGCTTCTGATATGGAGCCTTCAGCATGTAATACACGAGCTGCCCGAAGATACCCTTCGGTGAGGACAGTGAGCGTGTCAGCAAATTGCACTGTTCGTTCGGCTAATTTTAGAGCCTACAGGGAACAAAATTCAATCAAGCAAATGGCTGGAAAAGGTCACTGGGAATACCAACCCTCTTATAATTTCCTTTCCGCAAGAACAGTTCACACAAAGCATTAGCGGCTGCGGCACTTTTCTGATTAGCATTGAACGCCCTTTCAATCATCTTGGTCCCGGTGAGGAATAGGTGTGCTTTCTCCTCTTCACTTTGATTCTCAGCTTTGCTCGCATTGATGGATTCCAACCCAAGCAAGAGTAACGCTGACCATTCACTGGGATTCTGTGGCGAGAAGTTTTTAATGTCGCAAAGGCTGAATATGAATCCAGGGCACTTACAACTTCTAAGCTCCGCTGCCAAGCTGCTTTAGCCTTGGCTTTGTGGTCCATAGCCCAAAGACATAAACCAATCCCAATACGAGGATCTGGTTGACATTGCGGACTGAGTTGAAGAACTTGTTGGAATAATTTCAAAGCCTGAGGATAGCCCCGTCTGGCGTAGAGTATACGCGCCTTCATATTACAGTTATAACATCTCTAAAAACATATGCCAATTCAGGCTTACCTTGCCCAATAGGGCGATCAAGTTTGTGGGTTTTTCCGCCAAAACACCCTCGAATGAGCGTAATGCATCATCCATAGAACGTGTCGCCAATTGTTGTATACCTTCATACAGCGATAGATTTGCTGTGAGTGGCGGCCCTGAGAATAAAATGCGAGCATACCTCGAGTCAGAAAGGCCAACGTGCCACCCACACCCTCTCCAGATTCCGCAGCAGCTCTTTCTCCAGAATTGAGGTACTGAGCAGCTTCTTTGTAATACTCTTCCTTCGGGCGTTCATTAGACAGTCTATCCTCGCCTAAAAGGAGGTAAGTAGCCCTTCGTATTTTGAGAAGATTCGGGGCTTACGAGCACTAGGTATTATGAGTTTGGGTGCCTTTCGTGCACGGGCTATTTGGATATTAGCAAGCAAAGAATAAATGGGCGGCGAAGAGGCAATAGCCCCATTTACGTGAAAACCTAGAGCAGGAGAATATTCAGAACCTTTACTTTACTTTCAAAAGGACACACACAGTCAATAGCAGATTGCGCAATCTTCTCAGCAGCTTCCAGGTAGCCTCTGCGCCAGTATTCACCAGCCAACTTTGTCCAAACCCAGACTTTGCATTGTCCGTCCTTCAGAAGCTCTATAACATCATCGGGATTTGTATCGAGGTTATCCAAATCAATGGTGATGACTTCTTGTCCACCCAGCTCGATGTCGATAGACCGTCCTGGAGTATACGAGGCTTCTTCCATTGTGGATGCCTTGTATTCGGTGGAACGGACGAGAAAGTTGACCCGGGCAACAATCTAGACCAGAATAGAAAAGCGAAGAAAAACAAATTGATGTTTTGTCTCCAAAATACAGAAGTGACCAGACGTGGCCGACGTGCAACGGATGCTTGTGGACAAGATTCACCCAGTGACTTTCGCTGCCTACGAGTCACGTGCATACACCGACTCCCGAGCCGCGCCGTGCTGTGCCGCTCCTTCGCCGTCACGACGACAGCCCATCCTCATCCTCGACGACGGCGACGAGCCTTTTCATCGTCAACCATCCGCAGACGACATCGACGCCCCAAAAAGACCACAGCGCAGGCGCGAATATCGACCGCTGTTGCAGTCGTCGCTGCCGACTTTGAAGCCTGTGAACACGACGTCGTCTCGAACGACATTCCTGCAGTTCTCTTACACGTTTGGCCCCCTTGCAGCACGGATTTGTTGCATTCCGAGTTTCGAATATCTCGCCTAGCTATAGGTAACACGTTTATACGACATTGCTCCTCCTTCCGTATCCGCCACTTTGATCCAGACTGGGACCGTGCCCCTACTCTTCCGCTTACCAGGACGCCTTAAATGACCGTCTCACATCGCAAGCGACAGCATCAGCCGGATGAAATACAAAGTACGTTGATATCCTATTCTGTCTCTGGTTTGCCATGCCAGTCTCCTCTCTTTTCTCTTGAAAATTGGACTATTTCTCACGTTTTCTTCTTACGTCACTCCCGCCGGAAACCTATACAGCGGTGAACGAACCAGGGCTGCAGATTCAATGCGACTCGTGCATGTGTGATCTGACACACTCCATCCGTATCAAATGCGCAGACCCAGTATGTGAACCAGGCGACGGTGTGGACATCTGTCCCGCTTGTTTCTGCCAGGGAAAGGAATTTGGAAAACACAAGCGAGGGCATGCATATCGCATGGTGGTAAGTCACTCGTGATGTCACCTTAAGCCTCGTGAACTGATCGCTATCATTGCAAAGGAACTTCACTCATACCCGATCTTTTCGGAAGATTGGGGTGCAGACGAGTAAGTCGCAATCTCTTCCGATCGATATCTTTCCAACGTGACCTGCTTCTAACAATCGGTCACAGAGAATTGCTCTTACTAGAAGGGATATCCCTTCAAGGTATGGGTAACTGGCAGGCAATAGCGGAACATGTCGGGACGCGCACAAAGGAAGAAGTAGAAAAGCATTATAACACCGTCTACGTCGATTCTCCGAATTGGCCATTACCTGTGAGCTTATCGAATCAGATTTTGCAGAGTTTGTTTTAATGACTTCCCTAGAATATGAATGTTCAATTTAATATAGATCCAAACGAATTTCAGGAGAGAAAGCGGCGACGAATGTCGCACATGAACACAGCCCCGCCGCCACCGCCCAAAACAGCTCCGACCTCCGGTCCAGGTATACACGAAGTGGCTACATTCCTCCCTGGCCGACTGGAGTTCGAGCATGAGTTGGATAACGATGCAGAGGATCTGGTAAAAGATCTCGAATTCGGAATATGCAACGAATGGAATGGCGATGAAATCATAGAGGATGAGAACGATCTCGATGTTCGTGCAAGAGCACGTTGGGTGGAGGAAAGAAAGTCGGGTAAAAAATCGACAAGTAGCACTCAGACTCTGGTCAATGGTACGAACGGGACGACAAACGGACATCATATCCCTGTTAATGACCTGCCAAAGCGAGAATCTCGGACTAAATCGGAAGATACTAATACGGAGAATGGGGCTGGCGATGACGATGCCAATGCAGAGGAGGTAACGCAGCCACCACCATACGAAACGAAGGAATCGCTGGCCTTCAAGCTGACCTTGTTGGAGATGTATAACCAGCGAGTAGACAAGCGGCATGAGGCCAAGGCTATCATGTTTGATAGGGGACTGTTGGAATACAAGAAGGTCTGCACGACCTTTTCTAGTGACGTAAAAAGCAAACTGAGCCATTTCGTTCTAGATGCAGGCTGCCGAGAAAAAGAGGCCGAAAGACGAGAAGGATATTGTCCAGCGACTTCGCCCCTTCGCGAGGCTTCAAACAGCAGAGGATTACGAAGTTTTCACTGCCGACATACTTTGTAAGTGTTTTGTATCACTGTGCTGTGAAGAGGCAAGTCGACCCATCTTTGAATTCAGACGAAGCAATACTCCGAAAGAGAATCCAAGAGCTGCAACATTATCGTCGGATGGGCTTGACGACTGCTGCTGATATCGAAAAGTATGAAGTGGATTGTATCAAACGGGTCGGTATATCTGAATGTTACATTGTCGTTTGTCAGCCCTCCAATAACCCCATCAATACAGGCCCAAGCCAAAGCAAACCTTTCCCGCGACTATTACTCATCAGAGCGCTTGTCACAACTTCGTGCAGCAGGTACTGGTCGTGAGTATCATCGTTGTGAGACATTTGTTTTTCGGTCTAACGCTATGCAGGAGAATCGGAAGGCAGAAAAAGTCATGAACGGGAAATAACACCGAAGCTTGGTGCAGCGAATGCGAGTACTTCAGCATCCGGTCCTGCAAATCGCAAGCCAGGTATGCAATATGTAATATTGCGCAACTTGTTCCGAACACTCAGAACTTTCCAGCTGCCCCCCTCAACCTCGCCAACAGCCCTTCCCTCCACCTTCTCACTCCAGCCGAACAGACACTCTGTTCACAGCTCCGTATCTTACCCAAACCATATCTCGTCATCAAAGAAACTCTTGTGCGAGAGTATGCACGACGTGGAGGTAAACTGCGTCGGCGAGAAGCGAGGGATCTTGTCAAAATCGACGTCAATAAGACAAGTCGAGTATGGGATTTCCTCGTACAAGCCGGCTTTCTCAAGATCACGCCGGACCCACAACCAGTTGCTATCCAGGACCCTGCGTGAGTTCTTCACCCCTATGTATGCGCCTTTCTTAAAAGGTTCTTACTGTCGTTGTCGTGAAATTGTAGTGCGAGCCGTGCATCATCTCACGCATCACTCAACGTATCACCCGTCAAGGATGGCCAACCTCAAATTACGGCTAGACCAGGTTTGCCACATACTATGTCTGCGCCACCCACACAAAACGGCTTCATGCCAAAGTCTATACCATCATTCGTCGCCCCACCTCTCCCCGCAACACCCTGGCCTCCAAGTTGACACCAGACACAATGCCCCCCTCTGCTACTAGTGCTGCTCCTTGCTACATCTATCCATCGCTCGACAACTCCTACTATTACCGCATTTGTAATTTTACCACCCACACATCGCTTTTTATATGTTTGTTTACTCGTTAAATAATTGCATACTTTTTTTATGTGTCGTGTTTTAGTTTTTAGACTGATTCTGTCAGAAGGTTTCCGATGATGTTCATATCAATGGGGATGTTTGCGTCGTGCAAATAGTCGTCGTTCCTATGATTGAAGGACAATTATTAGATATGGACTTGAAATACAATAATGGTACTTACCAAAACTAAACATGTTCGCAAGCACGTTCGAAACAGTCAAGGCCAGTCATTCAAAAGGCATCACAAGTGCCCTACTCACCTTGGAATGATGCTTACTTCCAGAATCACATCTTATAACAAACGATGTCAGCATGCGATGCATGATGTCAGTTGGAAGGGCAATCAACTCACAGGATGGTGACAACAGCCTGCTTATCCTTCCAGCCCAATTCGCGAACTAGCTTTACACACGCTACCAGATTGCAAGCGCTGCTTGATCCAAGGAACAGGCCGTCATGATGCACGAGATAGCGAGACATGGCTACTGCTTCTGCATCGGTAATACTGTCGATGCGTTAACGCAACAGAGAGACACAACGAGGTCAGAGACGGTCATATCGTCAGATAAGACCCAACCGTCACATACCGAAATGCATCATCTATGATAGGCAGCCCAAGCTGGAGGTTTCTCGACAGCCTCGGGCTGTTGATACCGCTATAATCATGTCGATGAGCCCAGCGCCATTTGAATGAATACGATGGACATACATTCCCTCGACTACTGTATCAACTTGATCTCGCCTCTTCGTTCCTTCCGCTTCTTCGTGATCGTACATCACCTCGAATTTGACCTGCAGAAAGTAGTCAGCAGTCTGTCTGCTCAGGGGGTAAACCCATCAAGTGAATTGGAACAAGCTCTTTAAACACGACATTGTACCTTGTTATATATCCAACTTCCTTCAGGATCGGCCAACACTACCTTGATATCCTCCTTTTTCGATTTAAGAAAACGTCCGACACCTGCGATAGTTCCCCCAGTACCTAGTATAAAACGTCGACACGGGGAGATAGAAGACTCGTTTCATCAAAAGCTGTGATTCACTTGATCCAACGCTGACCTGCACCAGAAACGAATGCGTCGATGTGACCGTTGATCTGACGCCATATTTCAGGGCCTGTACCATCGTAGTGCGCATTAAAGTTGCTTCTGTTCTGCAAAAATATGCGGTAAACACCCCAACGTCTGTATATGAAGAAAAGCCGCCACGAGAGCGACCCGTTTGTGCTACAACTGACCTCGAACTGGTCTACAAAAAATCCCCTTGGTGCCGTCACTGATGGTTTCGTCACTGGGTCTTCGTCTCGCGGTCCGTTGGCCTGAGCAGCACAATCCACCCCTTGTACGCGATCTGAGGTAATCGTGACGAATTCTGGGGATGCCGCTTCGATATAGTTGAGGATATTTGTTTCTTGGGTGCCTACGAAGAAATTGGGACAAGAACGGAATCTGAGAGCTGCTTGACGGGCCATGTTCTATACACAAAAAGTACCGTTTTCTTGAATGCTCCTATTGAAAGTTCCGTTGAGAGGCACGCACCACAAACTAGCATTTCGCCCAAAAGACCGGCGAGTTTTGCAAGATCAGCAAGTGAAATCAAGGTAAAAAGACGAGATTTGCGGATACGAACCTGTTTCCTGTCGACGATGCTAGCTGGACCTACGCGCTGTACGTCGGCACCGAGAGCCTGAAGTGCTTTCACCTTTTCTTCTGCAACATCATCGGGCATGATGATAGCTAATGAAGTCGGGCGTATAACTGAGCTAGGTGCTCCTGCCTGAGATAAAGAGATACCGTACTTGTGTTGTAACCTCTGATGGTATATATATCGTGTTTGAGCAACCCGGAAGCCTGGACTCGCTCAGGAACTTGGAGCGCTCACCTTGCTTTTGCTATGGTCGCTATTGAGATGCCCGTTGAACCTACGGTGCCCTCGAATATACGTGAACCAGTGTTTGGATAGAGTAAACCCTGCTTTTCAGCATCTTGGATCGCTGAGCATATAGAGAAGGAAATGAGAGGGGCATAAAGCGAAAGCAGAAACGAGGACTCGCACTTCGCAAAGCAACGCGATCTTTCGCGCTTCCACCAGGGTTCAAGTACTAAAAACGCAGCATCGTAGGCCGTGCATGGTTATTTGGACTTAAGAAGCTATCACAACTGACCTCTGCTTTCCCGAGAATTTCAACTCCCAAGGCATTACTTAAGGAATTGATTCTTACTAGGGGCGTATTTCCTATATGCATACCTTATCTTTCAGCGACGGAGCCTTTGCCGGTGGCCACTAAGCAAACTGACGCGCCTATTGAGCTAGTGACACTATCAAGTACTTCGTCTCTTCCGACGATGAAACTCATGTTGTGGCTTTCGGTTATCAAAGTACTCGCATAATGAGGTGGCGGCGGCGGTCACAGAGGCCCCTAGGATTAAGCCGAGTACAAAACCTTGGACAGGGCTCTCAGAAAGTCGTAGCCAAGGTGGGGAAGGAGGGGGCATAATGGTTAGGGCCAAGGGTGGAACGGCAGAGGAACACACCTCCCCAAAATATTACGATAACATCATGATTCGCATGAGCGACAAAATGAACTACACCTGCACATACACACACATTCCACTTTTATCGATAGCTACATCTGTCACAACTGTTGTCAAAGAAGATTTAATTGGAATTCCATGACAAACATTACTTACTCAAATGGACTGTCGCATCCATTCTAGTGACGATAATTCACTTATCACAGTAGAATAAGTTCAACACTTCATATTGTTTTATTACCCATGACATACAAGAACAAATCTACCCATAGCCAAAACCAACATCCAAGAACTCTTAGGGCTAAGGGATCCATCAGACAGACGTTCGACCCGCTGGCTTGACTCGCGAGCAACTGAAACAGTTGCAAACGAAGAAAAACCAAACTTCATCGAGACCCTCTAAAAAAAAAGGTCATGTTCTCTGTTGAACGGGAGAGCGCTCGTATCATCGACTGGATTTGAGGGATGCGGCATGTGTAAACATGCGAGACTCGAGTTAGTTTCTATAAAATAGATCCTAGCTGAGTATGTTCTAAGGAATCAACAATGCAGGACGCGAGGTTTATATACCATTCTGGTCCGTGTACAGAATGCCACGTGTCTCGCCTAGTGGTGTGTAACGTGCCGACTTATCCCGATTCAGATACCCGTTTGCTCCCAACTGGACACTCGCTGTCCATGCACTGTCCTTACCATGCGGACACCTACCCTTGCCTTTCGTTTAACTCCTCGTTCCTTATGGTCACTTCGTAGCCGTTGTTTGTTTGCCTGAACCTGTTCGCCGCAGTAGTATAAGAAACCACTGTACTCGATAGCGATAGGTATCCTTACGACTTACATTAGTTCTTTGACAAGGTTCAACTCAACCGTGGGGCGTTAGCGCCACGCAAACATCACATATTTTGAACTTGCAACAGTCTATACACTTAACTCTACTCTAAACATTCTTCCCCTCCACAACTCCGGATTTGATCACCCGGCCACAATTGGACCGGCACTATGGCTACCCAAAACCAGCTCTCACCACCTCACTATAATCTGCGCACTCGGACTAAGACATCAGGAAAACTTAGACAGTGTAACAACCAAGAGTTATTTACTCCGGCGCACACAGGAACACACTATAGAGAAGATAAAGAGGGAGTGATTACCCCTTAAGATGCAGTGAGTTAGTTGTGCTAGACAACAGGAGGACTCGCTGAGTCCTTCCCCATGTATTGCTCTTGTATATATACTGAATACATGTTTGCTTGTACATATGTACTGTTCAGTTGCTAGAGGCAGTGGCTGCTGATGTCATGGGGCCTAGCCTGTGTGACCAGCCCCACTGTGTGAGATACTTTGTATCTAAAATAAGAATAAAGGCAGCGCCGCGCGAGAAAGGTGGAGTTTGAACTAAAAGGGGAAGTGCCACATGGCACAGTGTGAAAACTACAGTACAAGGTTAAAGCGGAGAATGAAATTTAAAGGAAAGGTCCGAAAATGTAAAGTAAAGTAAATGGTCACATGACTGGTCATGTGACTTGGAAAATAAAAGTAGAAGCACAGAAGTGAAGCATAAGTAGGTGCTGGTATGTCAAATTGTAACAGACGGGCTAATAGTGAGTCATCACTCTTGAACTTACCTGAGAGTCCTTTATAGCCCACACCTCACCTGAGCCCTGGTGGCCAGGTAGGGACGTCCCTTTGACGAGCTTCGCGCTCCTACAGTGACATAGTCAGAGCTGGACCCAACCTCTCCGACCTAAAAGCTCGTGAGATGGTAAAAGGGACCCATAGCTTACCTGTACATACCGGTGCGAGGACTTGCCATGCCAGGACTCAAACTGAGAACCCGCGAATGCCGAAACCAACTGGAGTAATCCTACTTGATAATGAACAAGCTGCCCTTGTGCAGCAGACTGAAAAATTACTCAGTGACGAGCAACTGAGAGCTATACTCAGCAGGCGTGAATTGGAATGTTCTGCACAACCAAGTGAAACTGAGACTAACCTTAACTCCCCGGTTGCGGCAAAAGGCAAAGGGCCTGACCCCCGGAATTGGGGCGGGTTAGACTTAGAACAAGCAGATCTTGAGCCTGACGCTCAACGAGAAGCCCTCCTAGCCTGGAATGAAGCCCAGGACTGGGTTAAACAGGACTATCCACCACAGGCTGGACCTTCAGGAGCGGGAAGAGAGTGTGAACCTGAGAGAGGTGAACTAGACCCACTGTCCGGCGAAGATAATAGCCCTTGGAGGACATCTCGTCAAAGATCTAAGAGTAAATATTGAAGAGAAAGAAAGCATCAGCTTCGACAAGATAAAAAACAAACCTACCCTAGTGCAGGAGAAGACCCCCGTAAGACTGGGTATGATGACCCCATTACAGCCCATGTTGATACAGCCTTGAAACCTATGAGGGACTATCATACCCAGGAGCGTGGCCAGCATGTGCTGGCACCAGCTAACCAGGTTGATCTGACCAGCTACATTGGCCACACTCTGGGTCGATTTGGTGGATGAAAACAACCCCCAGATCCTTCAGACTTGAGCAATGGGTCTGATAGCGACTCAAGCTCCAGCTCCAGTACATCATCCAGTCCCTACTCTGACACATCATCATCAGGATCCAGACAATTCCAGAACCATTGTGGGCAAAGAAGGGGCACACAACAAAAAAAGCGAAAGCACTCAAAAAGGAGACAGATTATTAAGCCCACAGAACCCATGATATATGATGGCCGCCCTGACTCTCAGGAATTCCATCAGTTTATGGTAGCAGCCACGACTTATCTGAAGGAAGGAAGAGTACCCCGTAAAAGACATGTGTATCATCTCTCACCTTTTTAAAAAGGGACTGCATATGACTTTTTCTTGTACAAGGTGTCTCCTGATCCTTCTAGTTGGACACTGAGGGACTTCTTTATCGGATTATTTAATCACTGTTTCCCAGTAGATTATTGAATGAAACAGTGTGACAAGCTAAATAGGTGCTTTCAAGACAGCAAATCTGTGCAAGAATATTTATATGAACTTACCGAGTTGTGGAACATTATTGGGGATGTTGATGAGAGACAACGAGTCATCTGATTCTGGACTGGATTGAATGCTGAATTGCAACAGGGGCTGTGAATAAAGGAGCTCAACCCAGAAGTCTCTGGGTTTGAGGAAGTGCAAGCTGCGGCTGAACTACTAGAGATTGCCCAATCTGCAGCACTATGAGTACAGTCGAGTCAGCCCAAATTTAGTGGGTTGTCTGAACGTAAGAAACACCCAGCCCGGCAGGTGGATCACACAAATCAACCCTTCCTGCCACGACGAAACTACAATGAGGATGCTCAAAGACAAGCATACCATAAGTCTAAGGGGCCTATCCCAGGTGGCCACCGGGGACCCACAAGTCGAATGTGGCCCAGTGAGCCAAAATCAGATCAAAGAGAAAAGAAACCTCCTTTACTGAGCCTGGAAGAAAAGGAGAAGCACATTGCCGAAGGGAGATGTTTCATTTGCCATGAAAGTGGACACTTCAGTAGGAACTGCCCAAAGCGGAATATGCTCACCTCAACCAAGCCCCAGGAATTGTAACAACCAAGAGTTAGTTACTCTGGCGCACACATGAACACACTATAAAGGTAGTGATGAGGGAGTGGTTACCCCTTAAGCTGCAGAGAGTTTGTTGGTATACAACAGGAGGACTCGCTGAGGAGTCTCCTTGATCTATTGGGGTATTTATACTAATACAGAGTGTTTGTGCCTATGTACTGTACAGTTGATAAAGGCAGTGGCTGATGATGTCAGAGGGCACAGCCCGTGTGACCAGCTCCGCTGCGTGAGAGAGTTTGAGTCTAAAAGAAGAATAAAGGCTGCGCTGCGCGAGAAGGTGGAGTTAGAACAAAAAAGGAAAGTGCTGTATGGCACGGAGTGTGAACTATAGTAAAAGGTTAAAGTGGAGAATGAAAATTAAAGGAAAGGTCCGAAAATTGTGTTATCGTAACAGGAATACCTAGTTATGCTGTTGGGATGGAGAAGGTCAAGGTTGTAGATGTGGAACAACTCCATGCTCTGGCTGGTGCGACAGAAACCACTGAGAGTGTAACCCTTGGGTCCTTGGTCCCAGTAATGCCTGAGGATAGCTGGGAAGGGGAGCCTACAAGCTTGCGCCACACCTTTCAATTGGGGGACCCTCTGGGGGAAGTGGCTAAGCGACTACTCACAGAGGGGGCACCTTTCCCAGGAGATAGCTTAACCAATAGTGAGGCCTATGAGTTGGGAAGAATTTTGGTTTACCGAGTTTCAGAAAGTGAACATGTCATCACCGACAGTTACCGATGGTTGGATGATGATATTACAGTCCTGACCACTTTCCTCATGGATACCAAATTCTGCATAGCAGACTGGTATGCAGATCAGAAAGGATTGTTGGCAGGATACCCTCGAGATGAATGTGAAGAATACTACTCATACTTATCTATGGGGGACGCCATAGGAGACAGAGTAGAGGAAATCTTGAACATGGGACAACCATATTCCTGTGATGCCAACCTTGAGGCAGAAGAGACTGAGGGACAGTTTGTATGCTTACCATACCTCGCTGTTATGGAAGGACGGGAATACTACCAGGTTATTGACAAAGAACTACAGTTTGACCTGGATGTTCCAGCAGAGTTTTTTTGTAATAAAAGACTTAACCTAATCCATTGGTATGAACGGCAACTTGAAAAATCATTCCAGGAGCTCAACTCTCGACTTCGCCCAGAGAGTATGGAGTGGGAAATAAACCACCTGAGATTGCTATTCAACCCCAAGGAGGGTGGCCATGGCGTCTCCATAGCAGACACTGACAAGGAGGGCACAACTCTTATTCCTACCACATAATTTGAGGATTGCCAGGGGTGGCTCTGCCTGATTGAGCTAAATAGACAACAGATTGCGCCAGGGAAGTACCCCGCACTGGAGAGACACACATCAGTAACTAGAGATCTCAAGCGGGTCTTACCTCGTCCGATCGTAGTCATGATTCAGATTAATGCACACCCTGCAAGGGCACTGATTGACACTGGATCCCTAGCAGATTTCATGTCCTCGACACTGGCTGATCAGTTTGATGTCCCGCTAATCAAGTTAGCTAAGCCCCTCCCTATTCAACTGGCAGTACAAGGATCACAGTCCAAGGTGACATTTGGGACTAGGGTGAAATTCGAATATTAGGGGATAAAAGCAGACCGATACTTTGATATTATAAACTTACAGAATTATGACCTGATTCTAGGGACACCGTTCTTGTACCAGCACCAGGTGATGGTAGGCTTTAACTCCTCTAAGATAGTTATAGATAGTGACAGCCCAACTGTCATCCGCTGTCATGCACCAAAGTTGATTGGTAGCATGGACAGGTGTCAATAATGAAGCGAATATTCAAAAAAGACTCGCCTTTGCGCCACACAGACACAGTGCCACGTGGAATAGTAATTAATATTGCCTTTTTCGAACTTGTGGCTGATCAGCATCACCTCTATTAGGCAATCCAGTCACGCTCACCTTTGCTTTTCCATCCGGTACTTTTTGCGTTTCGGCATTTCGGCAAATTTTCACATCGCCACTGGCTACACATTGCATTGCGCCCTCGCTTTTGTCGTTTCCCTTACTCCCCTTCCTTTGCCTAGCCCCACTATGGGCCCCTTCCTCTCCTTTTTATTCTCACCTGACGGTCGTTTCTGGATCCCCATTCTAATCCACTTTTTTGTCACCTCCACCCTCCTCCTCCTCATCTTATTTGCACCCCCACCATTTCTGATGTCACCACTTCCTATCCACTTCCGTTGCCGATCCGTTGACTACCACGTGCCACTGCTGATATCAGCAAAGCCCCGGTGGCCGGTTCAAATAGGGCAACAGGTCCATCTTTATGACGTCGATCTACCATCATATACTATCAAAATATCAGTCGCTCGTCTTGCCCGGTTGGAGTGTGGGTGGGTAGTTTTTGAGCTGGAGAAGGTTCATCCCCTTGCGTTGCCCATGTTCATTGCTGTCCCATTCACTTGGGTACACTTATCTTTTGTCCATCGTCTTTGCTACAGCTACAGCTACCACACGCTGCCTGGGACTCACTTGTTCCAAATTGGAACTACTCCTCTCCCTCCCTCGTTTGATCAGGTGGTCCAACACAACCAGTCCATTGGTAAGGCCATGGAACTGCCGGATTTGGACTAGGTGGTGGACCGGTGGCTCCAGTTTCTTTTTCTTCAGCAGAACATTCATTTACAGTGCAATTATTTTTGATTTTTGAATCATTTTTATGGACACATATTTTTTAGAATGCCTGACTGACAATAAAGGAACTGTGTTGATACTGATAGTGTTTTGCCTTGCCCTTTTTTTACTGCATCTTCCCATGACATCATGATTTTCCTGCTCTCTTTTTGCTATTGGACTTTACTTTATGGCTATACAAACCTGTGACATTACTCACAGCATTCATTGTTCTATCCCTTTCTTTTCCTTTTTTTGACAATCTTATCCTGTACTACCTATGCAGGATCCGTCAGCATATATAAACCCCTGTATTTTACCTTGTAAAAAAAGGAACAAGAAATCCAATCCAGACTTCTTCTCTACTCTCAAGTTCACTACTCTGCTACTTGTGATCCAGTGTGGTCACAACACTTCCCACTTCTACCACTGTTAACTGCTGTCATCGTCACTCGTCACTTTTTGAAAATGATTGTCATCCCCTTCGATTAGAGTCCTTCTGAGCACTACAGTTTGTGCGTCAGGAGCCTGCTATCACTGGGAACCTCGTCACCTCATCATCCTCGTTGTTCTCAAACTTACCTTGTGCTACGATTAGCAAGGTAGTGCTCGTCTATACTCGCCACAAAGCCCCTATCTTTCTATAAATTCAACTATCCCTCCTCCTCAAAACCCACACTCATACACCTCTGGGTTTTACTTTGAAGGATCTTTATACGTACCACCCCACAAACAACCAGACCACTCCACTGTTCTAGGAAGCAAAGCCCATAAACAAGTTCCGTGGAATCTGGGAGGATTGTGTGTTAGTTTGTTTTTGTGTGTGGTTTTCTAACAGCAGTTCTCATCATCGACACCGCGGAGATGAGTGCTCCCAGCTGGAAGCTAGGGCCACAAAGGTCCTTGATGAACACCTTGAAAAGGTTAGAGAAAACCTTAAATCCTTTGCCAAACCCCTCTGTGCGAAGGCAAGTGAAACTGGTCTCCCTCCCCTATGAGACATTAACCATACTATTCCACTCATTGATGAGACAAAGATCTATCCCTGGCGGCCATCTTGGTGCCCTGAGGCATTAAGGGAGCAATGGACCAAAAAATGGGAGGCATACTTGTCCTCAGGACAATGGAAGGTTACAAGTGCAGGGAACACTGTTCCCATGCTCCTGATTTCAAAGCCCAGAACAGGAAAGCTAAGAACTGTTATAGACCTTTGGGAACGGAATAAAAATACTCAGAAACTATTGTCGCCCCTCCCCAGCATGGAGGGAATACTAAGACGGGTAGCACAGAAAAAATACCATTCCCTGATTGATGGGCAGGACACATATGAGCAGATATGTATTATCCCCGAGCATGTCGAGCGTTCAACCGTAACTACACCGGATGGCAATATGGTCAGCCAAGTCATTCAAATTGGGAATTATAATGCACCTGCTACCTACCAAGCCTTAATGAATCACTTGTTTGGGGCCTACATAGGCCATTTTATGGATGTATACCTGGACAACGTAGTGATATACTCAGACACTGTTGATGAGCACATAGAACACATCAAACTGATATTTTCCATCCTTGATAAGCAGAAGTTTTACCTGAGCGGGCACAAGCTCCACTTCCTCCGCAAGGAAATGAAGATCCTAGGGCGTATTGTTGATGATGTTGGAATCTGTATGGATCCGGACAAGGTGACCAGTGTACTGAATTAGAAGGTACCAACAAACCGAGACTTATTGAGGGGCTTCTTGGGATCAGTGGCGTACTTGGCGGATGACATATACAAGGTTCATATACCTATGGGTGTGTTGTCAGCCATATCTGGTGATACTGTACCATTTAAGTGGACATTTACTGAGCAAAGAGCGTTCAAAACTATTGAGCAATATGTGGCAGTATGTCAGAAACATTGCCGGATCCCCCTGGACTATTGCAAGGAGGCACCAACCATCTGGTTGATGACAGACGGATGCCTAAAAGGCATCTCTGGAGTGGTTGCACAAGGACCAGACTGGCGGACTTCCAGTGTAGCCGCTTTCTTCTCTGCAAAACTCGCATCTGCACAGCAGAATTATCCTGTGCATGAAATAGAATTTGTTAGCTGGAGTTGAAACCATGCTGCAGTATAGGGACATACTGCAGGGTGCACAATTTGTGTGGCTAACAGATCATAAAGGGCTGGTGCATCTGCTAGGTCAGAAAGGACTATCCGGGGGACAGGCTAGATGGATGGACAAGCTGGGTGAATTCAATTTTGAAGTATGTCATGTCCCAGGGGGGTGGACAACATATTGCCAGATGCACTGTCCCGGATGTATAGCTTTGATGCCCCTGGTACTGTGCGCTCACGTTCAGAGTATACCTATTATTGCCCCTGTGCTGGTGGGATTAGAGGCACTTGCTGCTGTACCCCAGACCCATACAAGGGCCCGAGCAGATGCAGAAGCTTCCCAGCAATTAGGGTCACAGCATCAAGTGTTAGCACCCCAGGATGTCCCCCCTGAACATCATGATTCAGATATTGCTCCCAGACGCCCTTGCAGGGCTAATAGTCGGCCTGCCCCAGCAGAAACAGGGCGGCCAGAAACAGCAGCTGAATTTGCTAAATAGGTAAAAAGTCGTTTCATTCTCTTCAGTACAGACGAACAAAAGGAGAGGGGGGTTAGCCAAGCAGACATTAAGCAGTCGGAAACAACTACACCATCATTGAGATTGTCAGACCACCCCTTGTACATCCAGATTCCCCACAGCCTGGAGGTGGAAGATCAGCTGGTTGGTCAACTCCATTTGGCACAAGTACAACAACGACAATTTCTACAACAAAATTATCAGCACACCCAAGGAATTTCATAACTTTGTGGTAGATAATGGACTTGTCTACCTCAAGCTACAAGATCAACTAGTTTTGTGTATCCCTGACCAGATCCTAAAAGGACGATCAGTCAGAGAAATCTTGATAACTAGGGCCCATTCCCTCCTGGCTCACCTTGGAGCTGACATACAGCAATCTACACTTTACAAGCATTATAGAATCAAATTTATAAGTCTCCTGCATATTTCCATCATGTAAGAAGCTCCTGTTGTGTCATATATCATGAATTATTTCACTTTTTATGTTATTTTTGCAGTGATATCCTCATATGTTTTAGGATACATGATAAGGGTATACCTACCCATAATTATGGTGTTATAATTGTTCAGACACACTTATGTGTTGTCTGGGAAGGCCTGCATATCTTTCAAAGGCTCCCAGAGCATCTGTATGTCTAATTCTAGGTCAGATGTCAATTTATACATAATTGCAAACATACTGTGAGATCTCTCAGATATATCCTGCTGATCATGGTTTCCAATCAAGCCTGTTTATGCTTGGGAACAATTTCCATCACTACAGCAAGCCTCCATGAGCTATTCTCCCCCAGAAATTGGAAAACAAACATATGTTTATTTGTAAAAAAACATAACATTGGATTTTACAATCTATTCCCAATGTGAATTGATCCTATATTCAATGAGAATAGTAGTTAGTCTGTTGGCTCCACATGCTTTACATAAATTAGCCTGAGAAATATCAAGTAGGGCAGTAAATAGATTTGTTTTAGAATAGGGGTTATATCAGCATATCCAAA